AGATAAATGTCGTTGGAACTCATTGAAGATAATGTGAATGAAAAATAAATCACAAAAACAGAAATTTATAAAAATTATAAAAATTTTATTATAAGGGCGCCTTGGCTTTCTGCACTTATGTTTATAAAGGGCTAAAAGTAAAATATACAATTTATACTCTGATTAATTTTAATAAGAAACTTAATTTTTTAAGTTAAATTAATTTTGTTCAATCAAGCCTAGGTTCCCCTGAACCTCATTTAATTTTAATAGCTGTTTAATTTCCCCCCCTCCCCCTCCCCCTCCCCTCCCCCCTACAAATATCAAAAAAATAACGTTAAACGAAGTTTTAATTTCAAACAGCCTTATGGTATTCATCATCACCATCCCTATTAATTTTGGCCAATGAGTACAGAATCATTATCGTTATTGATTGATGAAATTAAAATAAATTCGTAGCATTTACCATTGCATCATTCATTTTTATTAATCAATTATTTATTCACGTTCATAGCACTTACGTACACTATTCAATTTTGCGCATGAGATTATTTTGAATAAACTAGTAATATTATTTTTATTATTAATGTTAATAAGTTATTTATATATTATGTATATTGATTATAAAAAATTATGTTAAAAATATTAAATAAGTAATATAAATAGCTTGTACAAAGTCCCGAAAAATAAATTGGGACTGAATCTGCACAAAACCCGATTCAAACTGTTACAGTAATAAAATTATTGTTTTATAAATACTTAGATTAGTAAGTTCCTTAATTGTCGTGAATTTAAATAATATAATTTTAAATACATCGACTGATAAAAGATGTTATATTTTCTGGTTAGTATTATATAATGAAATTAAAATATTGGTTATCATTTAAAACATATTGATTAATGAAATATTTTACACTCATCGATTAAAAATTAGCACGAATAGAACACGAATATAGAATTGAATTTCATGGTATTGTAATCGCTATAAATTTGAGTAGACTATTTTTAATACATCGATCAGCAAAAGACCTTCGCATTCCACAATCACAGCAACAAAATGGTATGAATTTAAATAGATTATTTAAGTTTATCGGAATGTAAAATATCTAATTAATGTAAAAAAAAATAGTGAAGTGAATTATAAAAAATTTGAATTAGATTATCCGCATTGAATATAAAAATTAACGTGGATTAAATGAGTGTAATACGTATAAATATGATGAGACTAATGCACAATCACTTGATTTAATATGTAGGTCTATGCAGATTCTACTCAATTTTTTAGAACCGAGCCATAGCTAACGGAACCGGACTCGAAACTCCGGTTCAAGTACCGTACTTAGATGATCTTCTACACGTAATTTTGAGATTTTCGTTTTTCTTTATTACGTATTGTCGAAAACCATAACTCATTTCA